TACATGAAGCCACCATTTTCATATATATATATATACAGATTCAGCACAACAATGTCATAGCACCCATCTTCCCATAAAGGACTGCAGCTTATCCTCCCAGGCACCCACTTGCACCTGAAGTCAATAGAAGTTTGGCAAACCTGTAAGAATTCAGGCGTAACCCTAATCATCCGGGTAACAACATACACTTTTTAAAGAACGTATTCGGTATCTAGATTTAGGCTGGGTCATCCCCTCTCCCCCAGTATCTGACCACGAATTTTAAATATATGAAAAATCTACACATCTGAAATCATGAGCATTACTTACAGGGATAGGGATGCTCTCCTCCCCAGTTCTGCTAAGTACCACAGAGACAAACATGGCATTATTCTTTTGCTAAATCTTAAGTCTAACAGCCTGATCTATGTAGAGAAATCTAAGTGTATGTGAAGAGTTCCCTCAGCTCTACACAATTGGCCTAAACAGATGAAACTGCTGATTTGAGCCACCACGTATGACAAGTTACACCCTCTTGCATTAAGATAGAAGTGGAAGGACGTGTGCTTTCCATGGGCTAAAAATGTATGTGTCTTGGTGATTCTGAATTGTTTAAAAGTTATCTAAAAGCCGGACACCCCTGTTGCCTCACATAGCTATTAGTCTGTCAACACAGGCTGTGCTCTGCATAGCAGGATGATTCAGAACAGCAGGGCAGTTTTGGAGCCAGTCCTGTGGTTGCTCTTCACCACACATTGGTGTTCATTTGGAAGAGAGATGTTGGGGTGGAGGACCCCAACAAGCCAGTTCCCCCTTGCAAATGCCCTCCCAAAGAGTCACAGCATGAACCTAACATACGTCAATGAGAGGTAGGGGAGAGCTCCCTAACACCTGATGTCATTTGATGCTCTACAGAGATCCAAAAAGAGGCACAGAAATAGGGCTTTTTGTAAGAAAGATTTTTACATGTCTGATGGCAATATGGGCATCCCCCTTCCACAGGGACCCAGAAAAAGCTATGTAAACTATCTTCCTTTCTGAAAGTTTCAAACTATCAGTATAGTAGAGATTTGCTGCATTGGGCTGGGTTATTTCCCACGTAACGTAAACTCCCCGGATCAAATATACTGGAGATATGAGAAGCCTGAATGGCATCTGCTTTCAAAATAGTGATCCTTTCCTATTTCACTGAGTTACTTGCTAAAGTAGACAGACATAGCAAAAAGTAGGTCACACATAATAAATTTCTACATTAGAAAAAGACAATTTCCTGGATCATGTGTATACAAAAAGTTATCCAGGAATACAAAACTGCCTCTGGGCATATGATGCCCTAAAAAAGTCTACCCAACTGAGGAAAAGGGAAAAAGGAGAGGAGCTCTGCCTCCAGAAGTATCCAAGAATCTTCCTCAAAGATTAGTTTCATCTAATGAAAGGGACTGATATAAATAGATCATTTCCATCAACTGTAAGCTTGCAAGCAATAAAAAAACCCTCACAATATCATTGCAGTTTTGGAAACATTCATTATATTTGTTAGGTAGGTGTTTAAAATGTAAGCATGAGAAATCTTTCACTGTTTACAGTTCACAGATCAGGGAACAAGTTAGGGAATAGGACTGAACCAGCCAAAGCCTTTTATCCTAAACCCCTGGCACTGATAGGTTTAGAGTATTTGCAGAAGTTTGCTGAACTGGAATAATAAAGCTACTAAGTTCTGCCTTATTTCTAAGAAGAAAATGAATGCTAAAGAGTTATTTTTAATTAGCATGCATATAGCAAACATGCTATTATCTTCATTTTGTCATGCTGCCTTTACTTATCCCACATTCATTTCTCCTATTAAATCATCATATTTATTTTTCCTTCCAGACTCTGCGCTGGTCTTGTTTTGCATCGTATAGATCTAAGTACAAGGTAAGAAAAAGCTCTTGATCTAAATACCTAGGCTATTTATATATATATACATATACATACATGTATATATGATTTAAACTTGTCATTTTTTTCTCATTTCAAGGATGTATTTTCATATGAAAATGTAGGTAAAATGCTTTCAGATCTGTTTGTCTCAAGGAACACTTACTTTTTTTAAGTTATCAAGCTCATTAGCTACATCAGTGTGAATAAGAATGTGTTTTCTTAAAAAATGTTCATTAAATGTTCACTAGAATGTATTAAATATGCATAGTACTCCCCTTACTGATTCAAGACTGTATTTTAAGTATGTGAATTCTAAATCCACAATATTCTAAATATCAAGATGGACTTTTAAAAATATTTTGTTTAATTTGGGCCCATTAAATATGTTGCCTTTTTATTATTGTTATTATTATTGGAGGGCTTACTAAAAACAAGGGCAATACACAGAAAACCGGAATATAAACATAGTATTTGGGCCAATACTAGACACTGCTGTAGGCTCATTCCTTTTGAAAACGTAGCTACTTCTTTCAGTTTCCAAATAGAGAAAGAAGTCTTCCTTTTGTTCTCAATTGCTAATTTAGTGACATTTATCGTGTACTAAGCAAGTTATCTCTTGATGTGGTGTTCAGGAAAGTATGCTTGGCTTATATAATTGAAAACACTGGAGCAGGAGGAAGCCATGCTTGACAAAAATCTCGAAGCTGAAGGAGTTAAAAGTAAAAAGACAGAGCTGAAGTCAACATTCAACATTTATAGTATCCATGATGACAATCACCTTTGAAACATAAGCAACGTAGTGCAATATTCTGTTTTACTTTTCCTGCTCACAAGGACTGTAAACAGCAGCAGCTTCTATGGCTTAAAGCCAAGATACAAAGTCTGTGGATAAGCCAATTTATTTAATAGAATCGTATTAGGGATGTCGCTGTAAATCAAGGGAAATGTTACATAACACACGTATGGGAATTATGAGGGAAGGTGAGGGGTGGAGAGGTCCCCAAACCTGCCTTCTCTTGGCACCAGCTGTGTGTTTTTATTAATTGTACTCACACAGTTGTACTCTCCCACCATTGCCAACCAGGGCTCTATGATTTCTGCAAGATTTTTTGTTCTTCCACCAGAAATTCTAGTATCTTTCTATGTCACAGTTTAGAAAACATGGAAGTGATAAAAAAATAGAGCAACATTTTTGTTCTTCCACCAGAAATCCTAGTATCTTTCTATGTCACATGTCATGTGTCACATGTCTATGTCATCATGGAAGTGATAAAAAAATAGAGCAACACTGAAGCTAAGAGTCTATTCCGAATAATAAATTTTGGGGAATTCATTACAGCTAAAAAAGCAGTTGTGTAACCAGTCTATGTACAGCAGATCTTGTTCTAGCTTAAAAGTTGGATTATCTAGCCTTTGGCAGGAACATCTAAGCTATGTTGCATCAGTGTTATCCTTCAAGGGTGTCCTGTTCTTACAAGATAGCACACCTACTCAGCCTCTGATATTTAGATTTCAAATTCAGATCTCAGACTGTGATTTAATGAAAATTTTGGAGGTCAGAAGGACAAGCTAATAATCAGCTCATCTGCATTAGTATTAAAGCTTTTGCGACCTGTACTTCAGAGAAAAATTTAGTGTTTCCAGTTCTTATAATCAACAAATATAGCAGAAAATAAACCTGTCCAACCTTGTCTAAGGCGCATGATCCAATTAATTCTTTTTGGCCTGGAGCCCAAAATACTTAGACAAGGACTTAACAAAAAAAAAAGGAAGTAATGAATGGTAACTGAACTTTTCTTTCACAACAACACAAAATATATCTATGTTTCTGTTGCAAAATAATCCAGAAGGTGGATAGTGGGATACACTCTATTAGAAACTGCAGATGCTCCATGAAACATAATAGCGTATACCTCAGAGATGAATCAGATGCCAGTATGATCCAGAAACAGTCTTAAATTATCAGGGAGATTATCATCTCTTGCACAAAGATTATACAATGCAATTATTAAGTACTTGCATTCCTCAAAGATCACCAAAGCCTGTATCAAAGTGTTCCACATGTTAGTACATGGAAAACATCTTTTACTTCACTTTTATTCCTCTCACTCAGTAAATAAAAATACTTTCTTCAGTTCTATGGAAACAAGCACACCTGAGGCTGCTTATGCTCATGAAGTTACTCCTCTGTATCACCTGTATCAGTGCTTGCAAAATGACACTTCTTTTATTATATACTTCATAAGACAAATGCTGAATCCATATATATTAGTTCAGAATTATGTTGTGTGACTCTTCAATTCTTATTTTATAGATAGCTGCCCTGAAATGAAGGGAGGGTTTTGGAAATGTTTTTCTTGGTTTTCTTAGCTTTGTAGACAGAGCCTCCTATGCAGGGAAGCTGCTGCTGTGGAGTCCTTACAAAGCACTTGTTTGTATTGATAGTCAAATGTTTTGCAAGACATTTCTGGCAAGCCATCAGAAAAGTAACCAGGCAGGTTTGGTCCGTTTTCACCTCAAGTGACTTTCAGGAAACCATTCACATCCGTCTCCTCCTTGCCTTAATGAACCAAGAATTTGAAACCCCAACCCAACGCTGCTCTGTATCACTAATTATCAAACATATCACCAACCACCACCACCTCACAGCAGAGTCATTGTTTTTATTGTAAAAACAGGCAAATCAGGCACAACTTAGCACAGTTCTTCCTTGGCCTTGGACCCAAATAATGTTATTTGGGGAGATTTAGACAGGCCTAGGGTCAGGGCGGTGGGGGGAAGGAACACAGATGCTCTGCTGCCTGCGTGTCCCCGCGGTGATCGTTGGCGAGAGCCGCAGGGTAGCAAGGACGCAGGTAGCGGACAAAACGGCGCCCGAGAGGGAAGGGAAAGGGAAAGGAAAGGAAAGAGGAAGAGGAAGGGAGGGCAACGGGGCGGCCGTTGGGGCGCGGCGCATGCGCGGAGCC